TTATATTATAAATTATAAAAAGTAATTGAAAAATATATTATTATTTTCATGATGTCATTTTTTGCGTATGTAACAATCTGTCGTCGTTCTTTTTGCTTCGAAATGTATTTATAATTTTTATGTAGTCACCAATTATTATATTTTCTCTGTTCATGTTTTGTATTTTCACACCTTTTTTTATTTTTTTACGGTTAAGGAGAAATTGGTTTAGATGCCTCTGAAAGACAAGATGAATGTGTATCCTGTAGACTACAAATAGAAAATACTTGCTTATCTACAACAATTTTGTGATTAAAAGATAGAAGTATTTTGAAACTTTTACCTTGTAATTTTCTCATACTAAATTCAAGGCATTTGCTTCGTTTTCGAATTGCCAAGAACTCCCATGGCTTGATTCATAAAGTGTCTTCTTTAAAGTTACGTAAGAAAAAGTATTCAAATTTCATGCATGTGTCTGAGTATTCAACTTAAAGCTGTAGTCTTAAAAGAACATAATGGAGAAGGACTGAATTAGCGATATACTAGACATTCAACTTGGATGTCACTTTTGCTTTGTCAACTGCCCATTTGCTTGTCGCGTGCAGATTGATTTATTATTAACCACCATGACTGCAAAGTTGCCAATTCTTGCACTACCAAAAAAACAATTTGACCTCTAATTCTTTTGGATTTTGTCAAAAACTTTATGTTGAAGCTTGGCTTTTCAGTTTCAGCTATCAAGACTCACAGAGTACATTTTAGGAATTGTTGTAGTAGTTGAATGTGGAGCATTATATAGACTGATTGGATGTGATATAATTTTGAGTCGGAACAACCCTGCTATTGCTTTCAGAATATTTGGTCTAAGCAGCTACACGAATGAAGTATCTAAAAGTTGAAATGTTCTGTTTTCTGCCCTTATTCCGAGTCATACTCTCATCTAATTTGAATTTTATTCTACTACCTCTAATTTGCTCAGCTGTATATGTCGGAATGAACTATGGATATGGACCACCAAACAGAGTTGGAGGAAGATATCCGAATAACCGACAGCAGAACAAGGTTCATTCTCTTCTTACTACGGACAATACTTTATCTTCATCCCAAAAGTAAAAATAAAATAAAATATATCTTGGCATCCCTACTGCTTGTGACCTATGCTAGCAACCCTGCTTTTATCCCCAAACAACCAATTCTTTACTTCCTGCCTGGCTTGAAGTTTTCAACTATACAGTCTTATCCTGTTTCTAGATGCGGTTCTGCTTTATCTTTTTTAATTTTGCTTCTGTCATGATCCTATTCTTCTTTACTCAGGTGGCACCACTGGAAGTCAGGGACAATTCGATGACTATTGGTGTTGCAGATGAGCATGTTGGACTAGTCCTTGGACGTAATGGGAGGAGCATAATAGAGATCAGTCAGGTGTGTGAAGAAGTTACAATTCTCCCTGGTTTTTTATATGTACTAAGTCTTTGCTTTTGTTGCAGCTTAGTGGTGCCAGAATAAAGATATCAGATAGGGGTGATTTCTTGTCTGGTACTTCCGACAGGTATACCATCCTGGCATTGTTATTTCACTTGTCAGGTTGAACTACAAAAACACAGATTGCATTTATGAAGCTGTTGTGGCGTTTTACAGGAAGGTAACTATAACTGGATAACAAAGAGCAATCCGCACTGCAGAGTCCATGATATCTCGGAAAGTAGCTACTATTTCTGTGAGGTGATCCAAACTTGTATTTCTCACTTTTCTTTTTTAACGTTTTCTTAATGGATACCGAATTTCATATACATATGGTGATATTGGATCTGTGTTGACATTTCTAGAGAATGAATTTGTGAAATGCTGATATCCATGGCTGGAGAACACATTCCATCTGAGAAGGGGCAGCATATCTTAAGTACATTTAAGGAATATTTCGAAGCAAAGCTATAGTTTTCGCAATTGATTCAGTTGACTGAATATATACCGTTCTATACAGTCGTAATTATTCAATAGCTAACACTCAGTTGACAACTTTGAAGTTCTCTTATGGTTTGTTACATACAAAATATTTATTCCTTCCTTACTGAAAGAGCTTATACGATGCAATGAGATGATTCATCTTATTCTTAGTATGTCAGGTACGTCCTTGGACAAGCACCACCTCCACCACCACCATCTCCACCACCACCGCCTCCGCCACCTCCTCCTAATCTTCCACCACCACTTCCATACCCGGAGCCACTTCCACTTCCATAACCCGAACCATATCCTATTT